TCTACAGTCCAGCAGTGTTTGCATACCATTACTAGACTACCGGTATATCTACACTAAATTTTGATATATCACAGTCTGAAATGTCCTATGACAGTATGAGTATGGACTATAGACTATATTTTGAAACATCAACTGTTTGTCTACAACTTCATTTCTCACCTCTCAATCATTTCCAATGCTACCTTTCTTTCCACTCCGGCATAACTTATCATTGCTTCCCAGGTTCTTGTCGACTCTATGAATTTATATTTAGACCAACCGGCATTAGTAAAATTGATTAATTTCTTCTCTTTCACACAACCGTGCATTACAGAAACAGCCATTCATTTCTATTTCCAAATATGCTGTGGCCTATATAGTAGTATAAGTCTGCTGAATAGTCAAGAAGAGTCATTAAATTAATCATAAACATTTCATGCAAGCCAGAAAATATCGTTGTTTGTGACATATTATTCTAGGTCTAGCCTTCCTTGGAGTTACCGCACCGTACCTATTTAACAACGTCTTATGAGCTAGTGCTCAACTAAAATTGCTATTTATGGCAAGGATATACAAGTGTTTAATATCTTACCTATACTTTTCAACACCTCCTTAGAATAACTGGACTAATATTACCGGTAACTGAAAAAAACTATGGAAAGGCTACTCAACGCAAAAGCGAGCAGTTGAGTACATCTGATATTCATCCGACCACTGGGGATCCACCTACAGCTGACTAACTTGACTGTTACGTCGTGCAGAAGTCTGCGTTCATTGGCCCATGATACCGGAAAAGCAGAGAAAATAGGACAGATGGTAACACATATTTATTGTAGTAAAAGCGTCTTTTCTGTAAAACGTGCAACTTTTGGAAGTGGGAACAAGGCAATATTTGTTACTAAATTTCTAAGGAACATTTTAAAATCATTTTCAGGTAGTTACCTGATGTGCGCTACGAAACTGAAAGATAAATGGCCTCGGCTCGCGGCCTATAAGCAAGTGGTAACTTTTTGGATGAAACTGCACGAAATTTTTTAATGGGCGAATTCCAACAGCATGACTCGCAAACACAATATTGCGTAAATGAAATGATCAGGACCATTGATACATATATATGGGAAAGTTAACCTCAAATTATTTAACTCTTGGAACATTTTAGGGTTTGCACTAAGTCCATCTGTAATGAGTGCGTTAAGCCCACATTCTTGGAGAAAAGTCAAACACTTTTCCAGAAAATGCTAGCGAGATGGTCTGAGCGGATAACGTCAAGGGCTTTGACAACTTCCCAATCAAACCATGTGCATAAACTTGCACTGCATTGTGTGCAGGAACTTGCTCTGCTATTCTCGACTCTCCCAATTCAACAAAGCCAACCATCATATCTTTTTTTAAACGGTAGACAATATTTTCTTCGACTAAAAAGATAGGTTTATTTTCAAATATTGCCTTGAATCGACTAAGTTATGCCAGGTTTTGAAACAAATTACACATAACTTACCAGATTTGTCTCAATTTCGCACATTAAAGTTTGTTTAAATATAAATTTGGGCACTCATCAACTAATTTTGTTTGCCTACTTTACATCAATTTGTGTAAAGGAACTGAAACTTATGGACAGGTTATCAGTCCCCGAGCTCGTAAAAAAAGTAAAACAAGGAAAATCTATAAAACACTGTTTGCATCTTTTCCCAGACGAAATATATATTTCACAATTTAGTGATCCAAAATAATGATAAGAGACTTTCTTATTATTGTACTAAGGAAGTGTCCATATAGCAGTGTTGTTAAGTCATATGCAGGATGATACTGTTAGTGGAGGTATACGGTAAATAGACAGTACTACACTCAGGCGAATGAGCTGAAGTTACTGATTTATGTACTTTTTGAGTGAAAAAATTTTCAAGGTAATAACATAATGATATCAACACCAGTGAATTCTTGAAACAAATGATTAGAAAAATATGTAATATCTTAAAGCAAGCAATCTAAGCTGTGGAGGCCCTTGTTTGAATTTTTTGAGTTAGATTTCGAAAAGGACACTCCAAAATGTTGACTTGTTGTAGAACTGGAATTGCTGTTGCTGCCAGGTATCCCTCTCACAAATGATCGTTGTATAAATATATGCAGGATATTTGATAAAGTTGTTTCTTTTACATCAATTTCATTCAAGACTTCCGATGTTACAATAGTCCAACCATGATAAATTGTTCTGCAGTTGGGGGGTGAATAAGTTGGATGCACTTTTTTTCAAGTCTTGCAAATATTTATGACATTTTTTTTCAGCTATTTTCCTCTTTTTTGGAGAAGATCTATTCAAAGTTGGCGTTCATCTTGGGTATTGCACCAATTTTAAGACGCGACTGTGAGACTTTGTTGGATATTCCTCTCTTTTATTATAAAATTAAAATGTTGATGTTGAAGTTGCAAATTTTATTCGTCATGTAAAGACAAGTGTTTAATATCATAATCAGGCTGTTGACCAATCACATTTTTTTCAATTTTGTCTGCCCATATAAAATTTTCACCGGAACAAAATCGCTTGGATGGTGCCAAAAACAGGGTGCAAGATCCACTGACACTATCGCATTGTGGAACGCAACATCGATTACTTATGTTGATGAGTAATGTGAGTAAATAGCCTATAATACAAATTATGCAATTCTAAAAAAAAATTAGCCTGAAAGAAAAAATGAGTTGACTTTGAAAAAAGGAATTGGTACTTTCTGACTTTTAGAGTTTGGTGAATCTGTAAATACTATAGTGCTGGAATGTTAGTCGTAAGTTATAATAGTAGAATTATATCTGCTATAGACTGGGGGGTATGCAACTAAAAATATCGTAACCCAATACCCGACTCACAGAACATAGGAAATAAAGTAGCCTAGGCCCTAGGTTACGATAATCAGGTAGAATATTGCAGTATTGAGGTGTTTCATAGAACGCCAAGTTACCTGTACCTTCGTTGTCTTGAGGGGGAAACTACTAGTTGAAGCCAAAAATAAACCTAATCTATCTTTGATTAAATTAAAGAGACAGAGCTTAAGATGGACAACCGGCATTTGATATTTTATCCACAATAAAGTACTGAACCAACCTAATGAAATACCATAGGCTGCTGAGCTAATAATATACAGCCAGATATTTTGTGCACTGTCTTCACCAACGACTAACATACCGTCTTCATCAATCCCCCAGCAAATCAAGTGACCGCAATGGAGCGTGAAGCTGCAGAAACTCGTAACGCGAATAACTTTGTTTGTTTTATTAATGTGAGCGTGGCTTTCTAGGCTAGTTTCATTCCCCTGAACAAAGTTATTTGTACAAAAAACACAATACTGGAATTCATAAAATTCTGTAATGTCGTCAAACTTCCGCCCTCAGTAAAATAGTAATTACTTGAAAAGTATTATTTTCCCATTCAAATATTCACAATAAATGTTCATACAACCAATCAGATCAGATTATTCCATATATATATATTCAGTTATTTGCTGCAAAGGCTCCATTAGATCAACCGAAGTTGTAACGTTCTTCCATGTTAGGCCAGTTCAATAAATCATGATTCTCATGAGCAGCCCAGAACACAGAAATATAAACCCAAAGACCCGACAAGAGAAGGGATTTATACTGAGCTATGAAACAGTCGTGGGAGGTTGAATAGCCCATCAATTAAACATCGTTTTATCAACCTTGATGATGTATTTTATACAAAATGATATTCTAACTCAAATTGTGCTGATTTAAAACTCGAGCAATACCATAAACTGCAAAATCATCTGATTTCCATACGGTAGATTATGGTGTCACTAGGGCCTGCTAAATGGTGGGCCAGAAGAAACAATTTCACTGACGTATTATGTCTAACTTAACATATCGTTAACACTTTTGTTTCAAAGTAATTCAGTAAAAGTTTAAGAAGTCAAAATGCCTATTTTGCTATTTATAGAAATATAGTTGTCCAATATTTAGCTCTCTCTCGACATCTACCGATGAAGGATTTGTGACTTTAAATGTATTTGTTGATTTTACCGTACGTGTTTCGCAAAAAAAGGGTTTGTCAGAATACTAATCTCCACAATACTTAATGCGATATGTCCGACTAATCGGCTTTCATCTACTCTAGTTTAATATAAAACCGTTGCATATCAATAAAGTTGAAATCTGCACTGTGCACTGTGATTTTTTGCTTCTGAATTAACGTTAAGCAACGAATAGATAAATAGCATACCAAACTAGGAACGAATCAAATTTACTGATGTCATTTTTCATACGTTTACGTTTGTCCATGTTCCAAGATGTAAAGCAAATCTATATGTTGCAATAAAATTGTAAAATTGATTACAATTTTTTAGTTCACCTGTAGGTCAACAAGCTAAACATCACATTTTATGAATATTGAATGATCACCAATAATACAAGATTTTGAAAATATCAATAGTCACTATTCTTTGTTATGTACTTGTTTGCGCGCTCTAAAATAGTATAATAAAAAGCATTTCATCTACATTTAGTTATGATGCGTTAATGCGCACAATAGTAGCGGAAAATATAAAGAACCAGTCTGAAAATGCGTCGTTTTATTATTTTGCGATGGGCTTAAGACAAAATTTGACGTCTCTGATGCTTTGGCATACAATACGAACACTCCTGGTAACATCTCCTTATTTAAAAATGATCAAATAAAATTAGAGTTTGGGCCTGTTGTGGGTTGTTTGTCTACTATACTTCTTTTTAAATTAATACGGAAAATATCATGAAGTATATAAGCGTTTTCAAGTACTTCAAGCCCCACAAAGTTTTGATCACGGCTCGATTTTAAACTAGAAACCGGATAAATAGCGACAAGACCTAAGAGCTAGTTTATTGTTTACTCTGGCCTGACATCGAGAGTGCAAACCAATATTTGTATTAATAAATATTCATATTGCCAGAATTAAACCGGCTCCTATCTACCTTTTATAGAATATAATTCATGTAGAAATTGTATATTTTATTCAGTAAATACGGTATATTTCGAATATAAAAATTAGCAAAGCACGTTTCTTACAAACGATAACAATATCACGGTGTATAAACAATTAGACGAGTAGTTGTATCACATTTCAATTACGAAGATAATATCATAATGAATAGTTTCTTGCAGATATTATCATCATTCATTTCTGAAAAATGCGCAAAATTTCAGAACCATCGCGGATTTTTTTAAATATGGGTTTGCATATTTTTTCCAGGTCAGCCATTTCCCTCTGCGAATCCTGAATTGGTGGATTCTAAAAAAATAAAAACGTTGAAAATGTAATCGTTTCTACTCAGAGAATTATCCTGATTAGTAGTGAGGAAGTCTGAAAACGCATATTTCAAAGTGAAAAAGCAAAATTAGGAACAAAGAACTTTAATTCTTACCTGATTATCGTTCATCCAGTTGATTATTTTCTTGCAGATTTTGATTATTTTTTTCTTGTCTTTATCCGAAACATTCAAACTCATTTCTCCGGTAACTGCATGCTTGACGGCGTAGACTGCATTCTCGAGCTTGTGAGCTTGTTCACGCCGTTCTTTCCATTCTGCATCGTCTTGTTTGAATCTGTTGGCATCTTCTAACTGTATAACATTATATAAAATGATTTTTAGAAATGTTTATTTGGAGTTTTGAAGTGACGATGCGTAGATAGATTAGAGCAAAATGCTGCTTTTTGTTTAGGTTTGTAAATTTTTGCAATAGTATAATGGACACACCATTCGTCTAATTTCTCTTTCACTAAGTTTTCCACTGTTATCAAATGTGATTTGGTTTTCTTTTCCAGTGCTGACATTGCGAGAGGTCACAGTAAGAATTCCGTTTTCATCTACGATAAAACACGTCTTGAATTTTTCAACTCCTCGCAAAGCCGCAGGTATGCCTTTGATCCAGAACTTCCCAAGAAAATGGTTATCCTTCGCAGCAGCCCGCTCGCCCTCAAATATCTTAAGTTGTAAAAAAAAACTGATGGAAATATTTTCGTACATTTAGGTCGAAAATTATCCAGTCTGTTCACTCACGCTGAAGCTCGATTCTGTTTGATAATCAAGGGCTGTCTGATTGACTTTCCATTTTTCTGTTGGTATTTTTGTATTACGTTTCACAACAATGCTCATGCCTCCTGTACTTTGTCTCAATCCAAGTGACAGCGGAACAACGTCACTGATCTTTAAATCTTTTATCTGTTTTTCAAATATAATACTAGTAATTTAGTTTGTATAAGTATCTTATTTGTAACCTACAGTACATCATTTATAAATAATAAAATGTGCTGAACTCGACAATATTTCGCAACAGGAAATATGAGGCGTAAACAAGTTATACTAAAAAGTAAGTGATAAAATGTACATTTGATAAAAAGTCCTAATTTATCACCATTGGGTTATCTTAATACTTTAGTTTTATACTTCTGATTAGCCTCACCCCAGATAGTCCCTCTTTGGATATGTTAGAAGCCAATGCTGCTGCTCCATACGCGACTGCTTCATCTGGATTAATATTTTTGCTGATTTTCTTTTCCCCAAAAAAATCTTGCAACAAATTTCGCACATTTGGAATTCGTGTAGATCCACCGACAAGCACAACCTTATCTATCTAAATAAAAAAAGATACTAAATTTAGAACATGGTGAAGAACTGCAAATCTTAACTTTCAACAAATATAGCAAATACAGCTATTAAGGTAAACCTTCAAAATATAGATATTGAAATGTTGATGCAAAATATTTGAACTTAATTAGAGATTTCCTATTCTTTTACCAGATTATATGACCAAATTCCTACTTGCAACCCACCTCACTTTTATCCATATCAGCACTTGTAAGTGCGTCTTTTACAGTTTTAAAAGTTTTTTCAAAATAATCACGATTAAGCTCGTCGAACTTTGCCCTGGTGATAGAACTTCTGAAGTCGATACCGTTATGAAGCCCATCTACTTGAACTCTGCAATAAAAAATTAAAATATTCAATATTCATTATCAATGTTAGTCGCGAAGTGATTTTTCAACACATGAGTTCACATTTTTGGTAATTCCAATTTGGTAGTTGATATCTATTGTTTATACAAGAAGGGAGTCAAGGGTGAGAATGATGAAAAATATTTACATCATGTAACACGTCAGTCACACCTGGTTTCTAGAATCGACGTCAAAATTCTGGATCCTATTAGGATCTTCTATTCTCCAAACTATCCAACTAAAGATCCAACAGCGTCGTGCTCATTTTGAGATTCACCCCCCTCCACCTAAGAGTGTGGCAATGGGTAAGATGAGGTACTCCTACCCAGGTTTGTTCATATGTCAATCCTCTCCCGCCCATCCCCTTAATAAAATCTTCATATAATCCAAATTTATTATATTTACGTTGCATTTTTCTTCACAGATAAGTTCTTCTTTGCATTTTCACAGGCGATACGTAGTCGATTTATTCCATGTTTGTTTAGAGACATATCGCAATCATTCTTACGATTGAACTCAGAGACAAAAAGGTTCACCATGCGATTGTCAAAATCATCTCCTGATGAAATAAGTATAGTCAAATTAATTATTGATTTGTAAGTAATAAGTTGTAAATATTATTGAATGCAAATGATCCAGTTCATGGACATTTGTTTCAGAATTCAGAAAAAAAAACATTTATTATTACACTGATTATATGAATCTTTTATTCAACAAGAAGCAGAAAGTGCAGTGGATTAGAGCAGTTGATTTTAACCGGGGACCCGCAAGATTCCATTTGAATCTAATCAGTATAATATATCAGTATGTATCAGTATCAGTATATGTAAATCGTCAAAATATAATAAAATATATATTAGGTTTCCCCTATTATTCAATTTGATACACTTTTAAAGATCATTTAACTTTGCCAATATTCGGTTTGCTTTTATATATAGTTTATAGCCATAAATAATAAATTGAACTCAGCTTTGCAACACAAAGGAATTGGAATTACTATCACGTACCAGATTGACCTAAGTTAAAATCTTGTTTCGTGGACCACACATCATTTAAATTGGGCACTTTTCCGCGGGCCGAACAATTTTTATTTGTAGGCCGCAGGCTGCACTCCCGGGCTTATACGAATCAGACAATAAAAGACAATTAAATTATTAAATAGGCGTTCCTCGAGGGTTGGGATTGGGAATTCTTTATTGGGATGCCGCTCTTCAAATAAGGTTAAAAACCACTCTTGTATGGTATGGTCATAGAGTATGTATGCTAACGTATATGTATTTTAACTGCTGTGAAATGTAACATAATTCGTACTCCTACTGCATGCTTCATATTATTTAGCTTTTGAATTTTAAAAAGCACGACCAAGGATCAACAAGGTTTGAGTACAAATTTTAATATATTTCAAAGATAAATATTTATTTAAATATTTTGATCCTAATATGTTATTACCTCCTAAGTGAGTATCGCCGCCTGTTGCCTTGACGTCAAATATTTTGTTTTTTATCCTAACAATTGTGACGTCAAAGGTTCCACCTCCCAGGTCAAAGACAAGAATATTCTGCTCTTCGTTGGTCTAAATTTAATGTTCGATGTTAGAATTTATCTATGTTTATGTAGCAAAAAAATATATAATAAAACGAGCTAAACGGCAATGCATTATGAGTCGTAATTATAATCTAATTCATAGGTTGCAAAAATGCTCTTTACGGAGCACCAGGCTCCGTGAGAAAAACCTAGTGGCTCTGCGATCTATTTGTTAATTTATTAAAAGACTGAATTTTGTCACTGTTAAAAAAAGCAATACCAATATTAATAAATTTTGACACCGCCAGCGTCGAAATTAGGCAACGAAGCGGTAATTCAATTTTGACATGATTTTTTTATGGGGGGGGGGGGGGGGGGGGGGGCGTGAAGCTAATTAAAAATACAATTATTGGTTGGATTTGATCTTGCCCGCTGTGTTTTGGATATTCATTTTATTTTATTTTTTGGAGATTGCAATTCCATTTACGTATTTTTGACCTTTTTATTAAATAACTTTTCGGCTTGCTATTTGTATAGGGCACGCCCTAAAAAGTAGAAGTAATACTGATCTATAGGTTCCAATAGATGATTTTTTTTTAATTTTTATTTCCTTGAATTTATTGTGCGGCTCAGTAAATGTAAATGATAGTCGTTCTGTATTTGCAAAATTAGATGATATACATGTATCTTCCGTTTTTTTTTGCCAATTAATGCAACAAACTAGCTTATTGTTTGGAAACAAAAACTAGAACCTCTTTTTCTAATCCATAAGCGATGGCAGCAGCAGTCGGTTCATTGATCACACGCAGAACGTTAAGTCCAGCTATTCTTCCTGCATCTATGGTTGCGTTGCGTTGAGTATTATTGAAATATGCAGGAACAGTTATTACTGCGTCAGTGATTGTTTCATCAAGACGATCTTCGACAGCTGTTTTGAGATATTCGAGAATCATTGCACTGATTTCCTCCGGGTCGAATATTTTGCGCCGGCCTCGATATTCAATCTGAAATGCACATTGATAGTTTTTTTTTTAAATATTCTGGAATCGTTTAAAAAGTTCAATAAGTATCTCATTACCGATATCTTGGGCTTATTGTCTTCATCAATCAAATTGAATCCCCACAACTTCATGTCGGCTTGCACCATTGGATCATCGTATGTGCGGCCAATTAAACGCTTAATCTCTGAAATACAAAATTCATTCGTTTTCTTGCCATTCTAGAAATAGTGGTCAGCATTTTGAGATATTGGAATTTTTCTATGACAAAAAGCATACAAACTAATCAAACACATTTTCATAATCGAATTTCTACTTGCTTCTCGTACGAGAAATGCATAGTATTTGTCAGCACCAAATCCGGGTAGTTGGAATTAGGACGTTAACAATTTTCCAAATTAATTTTCAATTGGCAAATCACGATAAATTTGCAAATTAAAACATAAAATGAATCAGAAATTAAATGGCTTTAATAGGCAATGTGTTTTAATTATTTCTATAATTCAAATGTATTGAAGATATTTCATCGCTTTAAAACAGTTTTTATTAGGCTCATTTGATTCAAACATTCTCGGATTAAAACTCGTTTTTTTGCGAAGTTGTAAATCAAATCATACAATATAAAAATCATATTTATTAAAAAGGTAAAAAACTATCTTACGAAAGAAAGTCCTTTCAAAATTGCTTGATACTTCTTGTTTGGCAACATTGCCAATTAGTCTCTCATCGTCTGTAAATGACACCCATGATGGAGTTACGCGTTCTCCTTGGTCGTTGTCGATAATTTCTACCTACATTGAAATGATATTTATTTGAGACTGTTTCGTTGTTGCGTGAACAAAAGACAACAATCCTAAAAAAATTTGTGAATTTATAAAAATAAAAATGAACTGAAAAATACCTGATTTTTCCTGTACACAGCAACGCACGAATTCGATGTACCAAGATCAATACCAATGACTTTCATTATAATATGTCTAAATCGTAATTATTAAGAAGATATTGAATAACTGTTAAAAATATAGTATTTGAAGTTGTTAAAGACATTTGATAAAGATGAATCACAGATACAAAATATTGATAGTGGTGCTGATGTCAGATTTGAGGCGAGAACGGAAGTTTTAAAAATTGTAATAGATAAAATAGGTAAAATATTGTTGATGGTGGCTAATATTGCCCTGTCCGCGTAACGTCCCGCAGTTGCGTCACTCGCTAGAATGTTCTGTTGCTGTAAGCATCTTATGTTGTTTGCTATGCTGGTGTGATAAAGTAGTGTAAGCGTATTCAATTGAACCCTTATTCTATAATAGCTTGGGTGTAGAACTTAACATATAGCCAAGACATTATTAACATGGTGGCAGCGATATCTGAAATTCGCTTACCGTCGACTCTTGATCTGCATGATGAAAATTTATCAGAAACATTTAAGAAATGGAAGAGACAGATCGATATTTTCATGCTAGCCAGCGGTTCTACTAGCAAGACAAAGGAAGAACAGAAGGTAATAAACTTATATTGCGCAGGTGCTCAAATGATTGAAGCTGCCGAACACTTTGTATACAGTGAGACTGAGGACGAAAATGACCCTGAAGTTCCACTACAGAAATGGCTAAACACTGTAATCCTTGGAAGAATGAGGTGATGGAGACATTTTGCTTTTTCATTATACAGTACGAAGACCATTTTGATACGTTTCTCGTTGAACTTCGTAGTGAAGCAGATTCCTGTAATTTTAAAAACAAAGAGCGAATGATCAGAGATAAAATCGTATTCTCAGTAAGTGGAAAATTACAAGAAATTTTGCTGCGGGAGACTGATCTCAATATGTCGGAAGCCATAAAGATTTGCCAAACTTATGAAATGTCCGAAAAGCAAGCGACGGATATCCGTGGATCTTCAGAAAGCGAGCAACGAATTTTGTCGACTAAAAATAGACAATACCAAAATACGAAGAGAGCTCTATGCACAACAAGCGAATTCCGAATGCATACCACGAATGCAAATTTTGTGGACGAAGACACGAGTTCGGAATATCTTATTGTCCTGCCTACGGAAAAACTTGTCATTTGTGCAATGGTGGAAATCATTTCCGAGTGAAGTATAGAAACGCAAGCTATGTTCGACAAATGAAGAAACATGACCAAAATGAAAAAAACGCTTGAAGAAGGTCATCAGCGTGTCCAGAATATAAAAAACTCAATAGTTCAAGAATTACTGCTCGGATGGAAGTCAACAATTATGATGTCAGATTTCAATTTGATAGTGCTGCAGATGTCAACACTATATGCGAAAAATATGTGCGGAAAGACCAAATTAGACCAACTACTGACAATCTTGTGATGTGAAATAAAACGAAAATGAAGCTACTTGGTGAGGCAATTTTAAAGGTAAAAAATACTCAGAATGATGAAGTCGCAGAGGTAAGATTTACTGTTGTCAAGAGTAATTTCAATTGTCTTTTGATTACAATAAACAGCGATAAATTTATTGCAAATGTTGACCTACCGCAAATTTTGGGAAACTTGGGAATAGCGAAATTAAAAGTTGATTCTGATTTTCAACTTAGAGTTTTACGTTGTAGTAAAATCCCAATAGCTCTTTAAGATAGAGTTAAATCAGAAAAAGATAACCTGGTGAAAAGGGGAATCTTAATACAGGTGGATGGACTTACCCATTGGGTCATTCAAATGGCTGCTACTAAGAAACCTAACTAAAAGCTTCGAATATGTATTGACCCTCAGCCGTTAAATGCCGCATTGAAACGAGAACGCTACAGATTACCTGTTCTTGATGATGTATTGCATAAGCTACGCATTGCAAAAGTGTTTACTAGGTTGGATGTAAAAGAAGCATACTGGCACGTAATATTAGATGAAGAATCGAGTAAGTTAACGACAATGATCACACCTTTTTCTCGTTACAGATGGGCTAAACTCCCATTTGGTTTAATGTGAGCAGCAAAATATTTCAGAAACGTTTAAATGAAGCATTGTTCAGATTGAATGCTGTTGTAACGGTAGCAAATGACATCATTGTATTTATTTGTGGGGACACAAAATCTGAGGCTAAAGCAAATCTCTGAATCAGGTGCCGAACTAGAAACATTAAATTAAATGATACCAAAGAGAAAATTATGGGATTGAGCCAATTCGAAACCTCACTAGTGTGAGCGAAAAGTGTGAGAAAACTTTTGAATTGGTCAAACGTAAAATTACAAAATCGCCCGTGTTAGATTATTACAACCCAAACCTTGACCTAGTTCTACAAGTTTATAGCAGCAAAGATGGTTTTGGTGCTGTTTTAATTCAGAATAAGAAGCCTATCGAATATGCATCCCGTGGTTTGTCAAAATCTGGAAGAAATTGGGCTCAGATTGAAAAAGACACTTTATCTGTTGTATTTGGACTTGAACAGATTGCGGTTGAACAGATATGATATCCAATTCAAATATATGCCTGGAAAATCCTTATTAATTGCTGATACCTTGAGCAGAATTTTTATTGAAAATTCCAAACATTTTCCCCATATTTTGAATATAGACGCTTTAGAGCAAATTCCAGATGAAAGAATTGAAGATGTGAAGCAAGCTATGATGCAAATGAGGAATCGACGAAGTTACTGAGATATATCAAACATGGATGGCCCGAGCATAAGTATGACTTACCTGACTGTGTAAAACCATATTTTTCAATAAGCGATACATTGAGTCATCAAGATGATATTAATTTGAAAGGAGAACGTATATGGATCCCAAAATCTATGCGAAATGAAATAAAGGAACAACTTCATTTTTCTCATTCTTTTGGATTGGTATGTCCAAAAAGATTAAACAAATTGCTAACAATTGTTTTTCCCGTCAGCAGACAAAACCAAATAATCAGAAAAAATCATTACTGCAACACAACGAAGGAAGTGTTGCTTGGGAAAAAGTTGGTATTGATTTGTGTGAGTATAAAGGGAAAAATTATGATTATTTTTCCAAGTTTCTTCGAAGTCGATGTGATGACGACGACAACTACGAATCAAATCATCATATGTCTGGAACGTCAATTTGCTAGGCCTGGTATTCCAAATATATTAATCTCAGATTGCGGAACAAATCTCAACTCGTCAGAATTCGAGAAATTCATGAGTGATTGGGGAATTCAGCATGTTACCTCTTCATCTGGACATCAATAAGCAAATGGAAAAGCTGAATCGTCGGTGAAAATTTTCAAGAATATGCTGGAAAGGACTGCAGACACGAATGAAGATCAATTTCAAGCTTTTCTAGAAATAAGAATACCCCGCGTCAAGACTTGAAAAGCAATTCATCAAAACTGATGTTTGGCCTTTCAACCAGATCGATTTTACCTATAATTACGAAACCAAACGAAAACTGATTTGAAACGCCTGCGTCGAAAGCACAGCGTGAAGAAAAGTTATGACAAATCTACGAAACCGATGCGAGAACTTAATTTGGGCGAAGCTGTATATTTTCAACATCCAAAACGGAAGGGAAGGAATAGAGAAACTATTGTGAAACGAATTGCTACACGATCTTACATTGTCAAAACGAAGAATGGTGTTACATACGGACGAAATCGTGTTCATATACATCCTGATGAAAGTTGTAGTATCGAAAAATATGAACCAAGTATTCCATTCTTGTCTGACTATAAGCCGAACAATCTTCCGTTTGCCTATGACAATTCTCGACCTCTGATTTCGAATAATGTTCCAACCAGACCTTGTCGAAATCGTAAACCTCCTATTTGTATGAAAGAATATGTGACTCGGTAGTGACTTTAACTTGAATGTTAAATATTATTGCTCATTTATTTGTCTGAATTGGAATGGTCATGAACTGTGTAATAGGTAAAGGTGGATATTTCCTATTTCAAATTTGAAATTAACTTGTGAAATTTATCTTAAACAAAGAGGGATGTTGATGATGGCTAATATTGCCCCGTCGAGTAACGTCCTTAATAATTGATTGTGCTGTCTGCGTAGTGCTAACGTGTCGCAGTTGCGTTACTCGATAGTATGTTCTGTTGCTTTAAGCATCTTTTGTTGTTTGCTAAGCTGGTGTAAACAAAAGAAGTGAAAGCGTATTCAGTTGAACCATTATTCTATAACAGCGTGGGTGTAGAACTTAACATATAACCAAGGCATTATTAACAAAGATGACACTGCTTACAGCCATGGGAAAGAACTCGAGTCGATTCACCCTTGATCCATTCTGAAACTTTTGAATGAATGATATTTTTGCGTTATTATTACAGCGACATTCGGCACAGTGCATTTATATAAGTAATAATTGTCGGTATAATTCATTTGTACAGTCTTTAACAATGATAGAATGATTTAGAAAAGCTAGGATCCCCAATCATATCCTAGTACAAAAATTACAGCTAGTCCATGGAATAAAATATACTAATCAAAAAATGTGTCCAAAGTCTTGCGTGACCAACAAAGCATTATCCCTCTCCTGAGTCAATATTGTTTAAAACATATGGTGAATCATTAGTTATGTATGTACGACCAAGCAACAATCGCATGTAAATGGTGCAGTTAAAACATACTCCATACTTGGCATATTGAGAAGCAAGAATGTTGCAATAGCACGCTCCACCCTGCTGAGTTCCGTAAAATACATGATATTAAAATATTTATTTAACGTCATTGTGTACCTACCTATTCGCGTTCCTGGTATCTTGTAAAGTTTACAATGAATATATATGTTTGAGCACTACAAGCTTATAACAAATTGCAACTTATGCCTTAATAAATATTCCTAAATCACATTATATAACGCATTTCGACTCGTTATATACAATACAAGGTAGACCAAAAGTACAATTCATTAAAATATTTTTAATTATTTAACTGCTTTACTTTGATTTTGTCTCATGCTATAGAATAGACTATAGAGTATATACCAAAGGCACAATGAGACACTCTCTATTAAACTTTTAAATCTATGGTTTCTCTCTGTTATTAAGGGGGATGGATGCCTCCCGGGCCGATATC